TGATGATCTCCCAAGTCCTTTTACCTTTGGCCCTTTTTAATCCATGCTTCAAACAGTGGCCAAACTGATCTTTTTAAAGTTTATTATTTTACTTCCCTGCTTAGGGTGACTTTCTATCACACAGACTAAATTCCACACTCATGGCTCTCAAGACTCTTCATTATGCAGCCTCCATCTCCCACTATTCTCCATTACTGTGTTTTTCTTAACTTGGTAGGTTTTTCCCTAATCATGAATTCTGTATTTACTATTTTCCACTTCTTTTTCTTCCTCCTGCTCATTCAGTGGCTGACTCCTTTCCATGCTAGATCTCAGATCTAAAAGATCTCTCCAAGGGCTGGTGGAGTGGCGCCAGTAGTAGAGCACCTGCCTAGCCAGCGTGAGGCCCTGAGTTCAAACCCCAGTAACCACTGGGGAAAAAAAAAAAAAAACCTACCTCAATTAGACTCTGACTTCACTGACTCCCCTCTGGTATTTCCTTCTTAGCACTTACCAGTATCTAAAATCATACACAGTAGGCCCTTGTTTCCAAGCCGTTAAGGAAAAACCATGCACGCTCAAGGAACCTACAGTTCAGTACTGTACTACAATTGCTTGATTCATTTTTCCCAAAAATACTGTATCTATCCTTTTTTTTCTTCCTTTCTTTCTCTTTCTTTCCTTCTTCCTTTCTTTTTCTTTCCCTATACTAGAATATAAGATTTAGGAGGGTAGGATTTGATCTACTTTTCAGCTGTCATAATCTCGGTTCCTAGAACTGCGTGGTACCATAGTGAACTGCTAATAAATGTGTATCATTGTTATGAACGTGTATTTCTTCAGTGATATACACTGTAACAGTGTGTTCATACACTTGAGCAACAGTAGGCAGTTTAACTGTTTTCTCGTCTTAATATATTTACAGAACCAAAAAACATGTCCCTCAGGAATACACCCTAATGGTGATGACTACACCAGGGATTTATCTGTGAAGGATTTCCTGTGAGTATCAAATTCATTATTGTGGTTATTAATACCAAGAAAAATTTAATTCTGTGATCCATTTACAAAAGGAGGTTTGTGTCATAAAGTCTGATGCCCTGCTCAGAATATATTTAAGAAAATTTGATGTGTTAAATTCTCTCATAGTAAACCTAGAGCTTTCTTTTTCTCATATTTAGTTACTTTGATTTCTAGAAATAAGAAGCTTCACTTGAATTTTTATGAGGTTTTTGTTGTTGTTTCTTATTTGTTTTTGTTGTGGTGAGCTTTTTTGGCAAGCAGTATTGGGGTTTGAACTCAGCACCTCCTGCTTGTTAGGCAGGTATTCTACCACTTGAGCCATGCCCCCATCTTTTTGGGTTTTTTCTTAATTTTTTCAGATAGTATCTTGCATTTTTTGCCTTAGGCTGACCTCAAACCACAATTCTACCTATGCTTCCCACATAGCTAGGATCACAGGTACAGCCACCACACCCGGCTTATTGATGAAATGGAATCTTGCTAACGTTTTTCCCCAGGCTAACACCAAAACATGATCCTCTTGATCTTTGCCTCTCAAATAACTGGGATTACAGGCATGAGCCATTGTGCCTGTTTGTATTTTGAGACAGGGTCTCACTCTGTTTTCTAAGCTGGCCTTGAATAAATAGCCCACCCTCCTGCCTCATCCACCCCAATTTCTGGTATTATAGGCATGTGCCCCCTTGGGCAGCTCAGAATTTTGTTTATTTCTTTATTTTTGGTACTGGGGTTTGAACTCAAGGCCATGTACTTGGTAGGCAGTTGCTCTACCACTTGAGCCACGCCCCCAGCCCTTTTTGCTTTGGTAATTTTTCAGATAACTCTAATCCTTTTTATCTGGATTGACCTTGAACTGCAGTCCTCTCTCCACCTCCCAAGTAGCTGGGATTATAGCTGTAAGCCACTGTGCCCAGCTCAAAATTTTTAAACTTATTTTCTTTCAGTCAGTTTTTTTCCTTTATATTATGTTTTTTGGTCTAAGAAGGATTTATTATTAAAATGATAAAATTTTGGAGTTTTAAAATAATCGTTTTAGGAAAACCTATATAATAAAACATCGTATTGAACATCGCTGTCACACTTTTTCCATCAGACCCCACATAGCCTCTTCTCTTCATCAAATGTATTTTATGTTTGTTTATGAATTACTGAGATATAATTATCTATAGTAAAATGCAAAGATCATAATTACGTAGCTAAATGAGTTTGACTAAGGTATATACCTGTAGAACCCAAATCTCAGTTAAGATGCAGAACATTAAATTGGGCCTGTAATCCCAACACTCAGGAGGCTGCAGCAGGAGCATCATGAGGTTGTGATGGACTACGTATTGTGTCCAGGCCACTCTGGGCTTTATAGCAAGACCCTGTCTCAAAAATAAAAACAAGAAAATACAACATTGCCCTCAGACTAGCCCAGGCTTCCTTAGTCTTGGTGCTGCTAACATTGTGAACCAGGTAATTTCTTTGTCTGCACACTGTGGGATGTTACAGCATTTTTAGCTTCTGCCTACTCAACCCCTCCCCAGTTGTGGAAACCAAAAATGACTCCAAATATTGGCCAATGTCCTCTGGGAAGTATTATCGCCTCAGGTAAGGACTACTGTGATAGACATTCCCCTTCTGTCTGTTCTCACAGAAATAACCACAAATATGATTTCTATCCCCATAGATTACTTTTATTTGGGGAGGGGGGGTAATGAGGCAGGGTATCACTATATTACCTAGGCTGGATTTAGACTCACTATTCTCCTGCCTCAGAGAGGGCTGGGATTATTAGCATGCACCACCACGCCCAGCTTCCATTGATTACTTTTAATCATTACTAGTTTTTAAACTCTTGAATTTTAAGATGTGGAAAAATATCTTATGGGGAAAAGTTAAGATAAGGTAGTCAAGTTTTTATAAGATTTCTAAAGTAATTATTAGTTACTACTGCTATATGTCCATTACCTAAACCTGTATTTTAATTTTTAATAATCTAGAGTGGAAAATTGTCTATACAGAATAAAGAACAAACTTTCCATAAGAAAACTGCCAGTGACAGGTTGTGAATTTGTCTCATGGGCCAAAGAAGAATGATATTTTTAAAGAAAACGAAGTGTTAAATGATTTCAGAAGAGTTCAGTAGTTGATACCAATAAAGCATTTATTACCAACAAATCACAGATCTGCTAATGATAAAGCAGGCTTTTAAAGAGTTGAGTGACCACACTGCATTAAAAGAAGCGTATCAGTTTGGACTGGCTGTTCCTTCAGGTAATGAAGTGAATTGCGGTGTATGTGCAGGTGGAACTCCTGAGAGTTGAATGTCGGTCCTAACAAACCAGCCTTCTCCATGTAATCAGCAAAAACATTTTTTGTTTTCTTTGATACAGAACAGATCTACTAATCTGAAATGGAATGAAAAAAGAAAAAAATGTAATTTAGGAAAATTTTTTTATTTGATTTTTTTTTTTTTTTTTTTACAAAATTACTAAACAAATTTCTATTTTTCATTATTTTCTAAGGCAAGTTCCTCTTGAAGAAACTGACCTTCCAGGACAAGGAGAATCGTTCCAAGTAGAAGGTAATTCAAGTAAAATCTAATTAAGAGCACTGTCTTTGAGAACAAATAACATAATTAAATTTCTCTTAATTCTTTTTTTAACTTTTAAATCTGCTTATCCGGTATTCTGCTCAAAGTGAATCCGTTTGTTTTACATGCTTACAGGCTTAAAATGCATCCATCCTGGGCAGGTGGAGTGGCTGAAGTGGTAGAGTGCCTGCCCAGCAAACATGAGGCCCTGAGTTCAAACCCCAGTGCTGCCAAAAAAAAAAAAAAATTAAAAAAACATGCATCCATCCAAACTAGACCTGGTGTAATCTCAGCCTTCAGGAGGTAGAGGCAGGAGGACCTTGAGTTCAAGGCCAGGCTGGGCTACATAGCAATACCCTATCTCAGAAAACAAATCAAAAATATACACCCATCATTGCCAAAACTACTCAGAAACGTTGGCTATAATGATGACTGCAACTTACTAAACCCTACAAAGTGCTGAGCTCTGAGTTCTGTACTGTACTGTATATACATTGTCTTACCTAAACTAACAACAGCCTCGGAATATAGGTACATTTGGTTCCAGTTTTATATAAACTCAAAGGACTAAGTCATTGAACAAAAAAGTAATCCAGATAGTAAGAGGCTCACAAAGCCAGCCCAGGCAGAAAGTTAACATGATCCCATCTCAACAAAAAGCTGGGTATTGTGCTGCGTTTCTATAATCCCAGCTACATGAGAGGCATAGGTAAGAGGACTGAAGTTCAAGACTGGCCCCAGGCAAAAATATGAGACTCTCCAAAAAGTAATTAAAGCAAAAAGGGCTGGCAGAGTGGCTCAAGTGGTATAGTGCCTGCCTAGCAAGCGCAAGGCCTTGAGGTCAAACCCCAGTACCACCAAAAAAGAAAAAAGAAAAACTCCTTAAATTCAGGACTGAACTCCAAAGCTATGCCCTTCTTTTAAATTGATGTCCTAGTTCTAAAATATCAATCCCTCTACTTGTATTAAGCTTGAAGAAGGGATTGTTTGGCTCTGTCCTGTGATGCCCTAGACTGCCTGCGGACTCTGCAGAGTTCCCAACAGCAAGAAGGCCCTTGCCTGAGGCCTCAAGACATGACCCCTCAACCTGGGACTTCCTTGCCTCCGAAACTGCTGAAGACACCAAGATTAACATGATTAAGACAACCTGCAGTTTCGGGCCACTGGAGCTGCACCCGGAAGTCTCCAGTCACCAACTCTTCTTGCTTATTGGTACTCTGCTCCTCCTATCCCTCCCTATAAAGCCCTTCTGCCTACCCGAATCCCTTAAGATTGGCAATGGCCTATCTTTGGTTTGCTACCTTTCCAAATTAATCTTTTTCTTTGCTTTCCCTCCAAAAAAAATAGGATAGTTTTGGATTAAGCAAAACCACATGGACATTCCTAGTTTTCCTATGAGCGCAGGTTGTATTTCTTACCTGAGAGGCCTTCCAGTTATCCAAATCTTCCACACTTTTCAAAGAACAACTCAGCTTCCACTTTCTTATTATGTTTATCCCACTTTGGAATATGAAGTTCTGTTTCTCTGACTCCATACTCCCAGATCTTTTCTTAGTCCTTTATTGTTTTGTTTTTGACTTTTTGGTAGTACTGGGATTTGAACTCCGGACCTTACCAGGCATGTGCTCTACCACTTGAGTCACTCCACCAGCCCTCATCTTGGAATATTTTTAAAAATTAAGATTCTTTCACAGGTCAAATATAAGGCATCAGTTGATCAGTGACAGTAAATAGATGGTGATGCTGTTTTCCAGATTATTTGTGTACAATAAATGTAGGAAAACTGTAGACTGATTTCACTGTACCTTTGACTTCTAAGATTCTTAAAATTCAAATTTCCAAGGTATAAAACCCTTTCTCGTTTATATTTCAAATTTTCAGAGCTAATACCTCCTATTCCTCAAAACTCACTGGGATGTGACTTTGATTCAGGTAGAGCTGAGTCTACTGAGAATGTCTTACCCAGAACAGTATCTGTCCGTCAGCATTTAAAGAAACATTTTAATAGTCAAAGTGAATTTGATCCCGTGGAGGATTTTGAAGCCAGTCATTTGGCAGGGCAGTCTTTTGAACTGGAAAGAATCGGATATGTTGAAAACCCAACTGCCAACATGCATGTGCTTGAAAATGTAGAGCAAAATGTCTGTCGATGGAACAAGCACCAAATTAACTTCTCACCAAGGCTGATTCAGCCAGAAAAGTTTACTAAATCAGAAGTCATTTTAGAGTCCAAACCTGAGCACACTAAAAGTAAATATAAAAATGCACAAAGAAGAAAAAGAGAAGAGAAAAGAAAAGCTAACAGAAGGAGAAAGTCAAAACCTATATTGAAGCATAAAGGGAAGAAAAGTAAAAATAAACAAACTGTTTCACCCCCAAAACTGGGTGAATCTGTCAGTTCCTGTGATGCTTACAATTTTAATTTGGAAGAGGGGGTTCACCTTACTCCTTTCCGACAGAAACCAAGCATTGATTCTAATAGAGAAGAAAACAGCAGCAGATCTGAGGTGAGCATCTGTGAATCCAGCGGCTCTGGAGATGATTCCGATGACCTCTATCTGCCCCCTTGCAAGTACACGCAAAGCCTTACCCGCAGATCAGACCAGAGACCTGTCACCAGACCTCGATCTAAGAGAGCACTAAATTACACACCTGAAAAAGAGGCAGAAGAGTCTCAGCCAACAAAAACCCCTACCAGTAAGTAATGTACTTGTTGGCCTACATTTTAACGTGTATGATACACGATCATTCTTGATGCTTATATATCATCCTTGCCATCTGCTTCTCTGGCAGGGGTTAGGAACTCACCATCTGTCTCTCTGGGGGAACCTGTAGTCTGACTAAATAGTGGGGGGCAGAAGGTGGAAATCACAGTTGCCTTGCTTTGACCTAATTTAAGCAAATCAAAATCTTTTAACAACTATTGTCATGACATAGCATTTTAACTATCAGTAAATGAGACCTCCCAAAGGCAGGGAAGAGGGGTAATTTTGGGGGGAATTTGGTTGAATTATAAGATCTTTTATACACTCAAGTAAAATATCCCCTTGAAAATGAAATCAAACTTTAATCTGGTGATTTGTCATTTTAATGACTTGCTTTACATTTAAGATGGTAGGAACCATGATTTAAAATAATTTTTTAGTTAATGAAAGTGGACTAATGAGACCAAGGAAGTTTTTCCTTATTTGATAAGCTTAATATTCTTTTGTAAGACAAATAAAAGCCATAGTTCAAAAAGTCTTGCTTTTCTTAGGTCAAAATGTAGGTATGGTTCAAATATTGGTGACACTGACTGGACCTGCCAACAGATTCTCATCTGGCTTTTAGTACATAGTGAGTTTGTGTCACTCTCAAAATAGTGTCACGTTATTTCATTTGGTCCTCAGAGCAACTCTTGAGTCATCATGCTGATTTTGTTCAGAAGGATAATAAAGTCTAAAAAGCTAAATCAACTTTCCTAGTCAACCAGTTAGACAGTGGTAGCTTGCAGGAGTCTTTTTTTAAAAGATATGCTATAATGATAGAATAAATCAAACAAGATGGCAAGATGTTGATAATTATTGAAGTTGAGTAACTTTGGGTCCGTTATACTACTGTTGCCATCTTTTGTGTAGATTTGAAAATGTCTATAATATAAAGTTTTGAAAAGAAAATAATACTTTCTAAAATAGTTGGGAGACTTACCAGCATCAGCAGTATCTGGAATTTTTTTTAAAATGCAGACTCACAGGTTATATTCCATGCTTTCAATTAGAATTTGCATCTCTGTGGATTTATAAACACATTAAAGTTTAAGAAGCATTATTCTGGAATATAACAACTAAACTGATATTGTTGCTTAGAACTTATTCAAACTGAATGTTGGAATGACTAATGTATGTTTATGGTGCAAAAAAAGACAATTTGAAACTCAGATAACTTTAGAGGACATAGTTGCTTAGTATAGTCATTTCAGTGAAAAGTTAGTATTTCTTGGGATGCAATTTGCTTTTTATATCTATTTAAGATTTTTTGTCTTGCAGTATCCTTACTGTGTGCTGGGTGCCTGCCTCTGATGGTAGATGTCACTCCAACGTACAATAAGTTGGATGTTTATGATAGGTAAAAAACTGACTAACCTTTTTAAAAGTTAGCTTGACTAGAGGGAACACATTTGATCTTGGTTTTCACAGGCCGTGATTTATAATTCGTGATTTATAATTCTTATTTATTTAATAGAATGACTTTAAGTGGTGATAAACTTGGTATTGGAAAAGCTAGAGAGGCTTCGATGATTTTTTTTTTTTCTTTTGGCAGTCCTCGGCACCTCATACTTGCTAGGCAGCCACTCTACCATTGTGCCACACCACAGCCCAAGAGGCTTTGCTAATTGTAAATAGCAAGGTGTGACTAAAATAAAATTTCATAGTTTAAAGTATCTAAGTATGCACAAGATATCAGAAGAGAATGCTAAATTTTAGTAAAATGTCCTATTACTAGTAATTCACATCTACCATAATTAATATTTCAACGTTATCTGGCTTGAAAGGAAAAATACTGAAAATGCTTTTAAAATCTTAATATAAAATGCCTAATTTTGTGTACATTTAGAATATATAACTGAGAACAGTTTTATTGCTGTGATTTTTTTTATTCCCCCCCCTTGGAACCATATTCAGTAAAAGTCATTTTCATAGGTGGACCTCCTGAGGCTCACCAGTCACCTCATTGTAGTCTGAAGGATATCACCAATGTCCCCTCGTATCCTGCAGTGAAAATCAGGAGACTTTCTCTTTCTCCAAAAAGGAATAAAGAAAGCACAACATCTCTGCCTAAGCGCAGATGCACAACCATCGTGAACTATAAGGAACCAACACTAGCTTCGTAAGTATCTGATTTGTAGGGCTCATTAGTAATGACTCACATGGGAAAAGTGAAACCACTGAGCTTTGTTCAGTAATGAGTCTTATTTGAAATAGAAAACTCAACAAAAAACAAAAGTGGGAACACTAAAACCGGCCTGTTTTTATAATAATTTTATGCTGAAGAGTAAGTTAACACTGTTGTAATTGCACCTGACATTTCTTTTTACCCTTTCAGGAAGCTAAGAAGAGGGGACCCTTTTACAGATTTGTGTTTCTTGAATTCTCCTATTTTCAAGCAGAAAAAGGACCGGAGACATTCCAAAAAAAGTACACAGCAAGTGCAATGAATCTTGGATGCTATTTACATTTATCCTACACCTTTTTTTATTGCTCTGTTGAAAATGTGAGGCCATACACAAGTGGATGGATACTGCCATAGGATACTCGGTGGTGGGACCTAGACTGTGAATGTTTCTTCAGAACTACACTTTAATCTTCATGCTGCCTAGACCTCTACGTTTTATTCATAATGTATCTTGGCACCAATATCTTGAAAATTACATAATCTTCTGGCATCTTTTTATTTACATTTTTCCAATAACTAGGGCTACTAGAAATGAAGAACTTCTTAAGACATGATGAAAATGTTTTGAAATTCGTATCATTTTTGAGTAAAGTAGATTCCTTGTCATTCACAGCAAGACACACCGTAAGTTGTGGATTCCTTATGCCAAATTTGGGTTTGGGGGCAGGTTTTGTTTTGTTTTTTGAAATAGGGTCTTCCTATGTGGTCCAGGCTGGTCTCAGCCTCCCCCAGGTGCTGGAATAGCAGGATGCACCACTGTGCCCAAGCAATGTTAACTCCTCAGGAAATGTGTATGGGACCGTGATTAAAAAATCAGGGACTAGGTGATAAGTTACGAACCCCACTTCATATTGTTCAGTGATTCCTCAATAAAATCATGTTATTGTGGGGGTGGGAGGGTTAGCATAGCTCCTTAGTGAATTTATTTAACTCCTTCCTCTTAACACTTGGTGTCAAAAGTGTAAATAGTGAGAGCTTTTATCTATTTCTGATCAGTGAGAGGTAATTAGTTCAGTTCAGAAAGCCTGACATCAATCTATACTTGTATATACCTATTTAAACTTAAATCACTGGTGGTCCATTTTTAAAGAACAATAAAATTTGTCAAAGATACCACTTGTGTATTCCTTCTGTTCCTTAAATATCAGGTAGAGTATCTGGTTGTCTTACTTTCTGATCTTCAATATTCTCATCCTTGGACCTTTCCTCTCCCCTCCCCTTGCTATTCTCTTGTCACAACCAAGAAACTCTTAGCTTCCCTTCCACACTAACATTTCTCTTTTCGAACTTCTCATTGTATAGTGTCCAGGTCAAAAACAGAAACTTTAATTTAGAGCTGGGGTTATAGCTCAGTGGTGGAGAGCTTGCCTGCAAGACCCCAGGTTAAATCCCCAGCACTGCAAAAAAAAAAAAAAAATATATATATATATATATACATAGATAAAATTTTACTAGATGAGACTTCTGATTCATCTCTGTCCTTATGCATTCTGTATTGGTCACACTCAGAATGCTTCTCATCACCCAAAATGTCTGTACAGTCACTGACCTGCACAGCCTATTCTTTCATCAGTCTTATTTTTCTAATTTTTCAACCACTCCTTTTATACCCATTCTTTTATTTCATGAAAATTCAAGAGGCTATTTTAACTAGGAAAAAGTACCATTCAAAATTCATCTTGTCAGTCACAATAGCCATGTGCCTGTGGTTACCATATTTGCAGACTGTGTACATATAGACCATTTCTGTAATAATGGAAAGTTTAGCCAGACAGGCTATGGACTATGTATGGACCAAGCCCTGCATACTGGCCTGTTTTGGGATAGTTTGCAAGCTAAGAATGTTTAAATATTTAGAATCAATTTTGGTGACAGGATATACTAAGTTTAAACCCCAATGAAGTATCTACATAATATCTCAGTTTTCCATTTGACCTGCAAAGCCAAAAATATTTACTTTCTGGCCTTTTATCAAGTTTCCCAGGTTGGTTGCACAAACCTGTAATCCCGCACTTAGGTGGTAGAGACAGAAGTGTAAGTCGAGCCTAAACTATACCGCAAGACCTTGTCTCAAAGAAGTTTGCCATGTCCTGTTCTAGACCATTGACTGCCTTTACTTTTACAGTACAGATCATTCTCTTCTGACACTTACTGATGTAGCTTTGATCCTCACCCACTGTTCATGCCCCAAGTCAACCATTATCCTAAAAATTGGTGGTTTTGTATTTTTCATGTTTCTGTATTCTTTCTGTAGTTTGTCCATAGACTGTTAAGTATTGTTTTGTGTTCTGACATTTTACATGAGCTTTATTGTGCTTATCTTGCAACTGACTTTGAACACTGTTTTGGGGATTTATCTATGTTAGCAGATGTATTTTCATTGTTGTACAGTAGGACATAAATAAATCATGCTTAGTTAATGCTTCTTTTGAGAGACAGTTTTCTGCCACTTTTTCACTATTTTCAAATTAATGCCGCAGGAGCTAGCCTGTTACCAGAAAGTTCAGACACGTTTTTTAGCAAGGTGTTTCACGACCCTGTCCAACCTCATCCCCAACCTCACAAGAACATCCTACCTCTGCATTCTTACATAACTTCTTCTGTAACAGACTTTAGCCTTAAAAGCTAGCATTTAACTTTCCTAGTTTATTGCAGCATAAAAGCGGTTGAGAAGTTAGCAATTGTGCAAGAAGTGCCTTCTTTAAATAAAGTAAAAGACAAAACAAAGATGAATCTAAAATTTATTCCAACTTCATTTTTATAGAAAAGATGAACAAATGTGGATTCAATGGGCATTTGTTAGTGGGTTCACATACAGTCGTATGGTCACACACAAGGTATTCTGATCTTGGAATCAGAAGTTGGTGTCTAGCATCATAAAGGAAAATGTCAGCCTTTCATTCATCCTGTTCAATAATTATTATTAATAACATGAGTATCAGCTGGAGGTGTAGAGTGTGAGCCTATGTGAAGACCTGCATTTGATCCCCAGCACCACAGAAAAGTAAACAACAATAATAGTAATGGATATAGGAAAAATTTATGTGATTTATAAATAATCATAATACATAAATGTAAAATCTATAAGGAGCAGGTAACAGTGAATACTGGAACTGGAACCAAAAAAGCTTCAGGAAGCCAGGCTCAGTGATGCATGTCTATAATCCCAGCACTAGGAAGGTTAAGGCAGGAGGATCACCTGTTGGAGGCCAACCAGGCTACAAAAGTGAAACCCTGTCTCAAACACACACTCACATATACACAACAACAACAAACTTCATAGTTTAATGTCCAAAAAAAAAGTGCATAAGTAATTACCTATAAAATTAAGTCCTTACCTATTTTGCAACCTAACAATTTTCTTAGGTGTTTACAAAAAAATAAGTGTTTTGATAAAGACCTGTACAAAGTGATTACAGCAGCCTTATGGAAACTACCAAAATGTCTATTAAAGTTGAGTGGACAAACTGTATATTCCAACAATAGAGTACCACTCAGCAGTAAAAAGGAATGCACTACTGACACAGATGAACTGAACTACAAATTGCATGACTCCACTTACATGAAATCAAAGAGCAGATAAAAATGCAGAAGTGGCTGCCCAGAGCAGTGCAGCGGTTCTGACTGAAGACGGAACTTTCCTTCGGTGATAAGAACAGTCTTTAGAGTAATTGATATGCAGGTGAATACAACTGTCAGAATCATCCAACTCAACGTCTAAGATCTGTGTATACGTTAATTAGCTTCAATTTCTAAAAGTGTTCTAAAATGTAGATGGGATGTTGAGTTGTACACAGATTGCAAATGTGGAAGTGTGCTTGACTGTGTTGAGAGTAGAGACAGTTGGCATACTTACCAGCACTCTGGGAAAAGATTTGAATTGCGGCTTGGTTACAAACTTGTATCAATGAGGATATGTTCTACTCAAAAAACAGCTGCTGGCTTTAACCCAACTTAAGGGCCTTATTACAACCCTTTGCCTATTCAATGCTGCTCTGTTGCATATAAAGGCAAATTCCCTGCTCTTAGATGTTTTTTAGCTAAAACTCAATGGCCACCTGTCAGATGCAGAAGACTGGAGGTTGACAGAGAAGAAAAATTCTTCTACTGCTTCCTTAGGAAGATCCAGGACAAAGGGAAGGGACATACAGAAAGTGCAGATGTGAACATGTACAAAATTTGGGAAGATCCTTAGCCTCTAATAAGTTCTCCAAGATTTGTTTTTAAAAACTTCAAACCCAGATAAACTGAAACTGGGAAAGCTTCATTAAATTTCACAGCCACCCAACACACATTATGTCCACAGATACAAATACATGCATAAATTACATGTTTCTCATCTTTTTTTACCTCCTGATCCTGCTGGGGTAGCAAATAGCAGGAAGCCTGACTTTTGTTTTCTTTGCTTTGTTGAAATCATACTGTTTTCAATAATGTATAGCTTTGTCACTCATTGCTAGCTTCCTTTTCCCATAATGTTCTCAGAAAGAAATCACAGTCAGCTACTTAGGAGGCAGAGACTGATTGGGTTGTTTGAGGTTCATGACCAGCCCAGGCAGGAAGTTAGCAAGACCCCATCTCAACAATAAATCTGGGCATGGGAGACTGTATCTGCCATTCCAGCTACATGGGAGGTATGAGTAGAATTGTGGTCCAGGTTGGCCTGGACAAAAAATACAAGACCCTACCTGAAAAATATTTAAAGCAAAAAGGGCTGGGAGCATGGCTCAAAAGGCAGAGTGTCTTCCTAGCAAGTACAAGGCCCAACAGTTCTAAATAACTTCACCAACAGCTTAAGAGCTAAGGATTAAGAATGCAGTTGGTGGCCATACCAGATCATACATATGAACTGTTAACCTCAGGTCACTAGAAGAAGAAAACACAACACCAGATTGGGAGCTTCTCAAAATATAATTTAAAACTATTTTGTACCAGTACAATATATTAATTTTACAAATGTAAAATTTTATGAGCTGTTAAAGCATTTACAAAAACCACACATTCTACTTTAGCTTTATTGCACAATATCTATAAGAAAATATTAATTTTTAAATTAGAAAACATAAAAATGCTTTCAATATAGAAGAGACAATCTGATTTTAAAGACAATACTCTATAAGAATGTCTACCCAGAAAATAACAAACTTTCACAGGATACCAAGCTGGACAGAGGCTTTGGCAAATCCGGTACAAAGCTCTGTTTAAAACCAGTCCAAGATACTTAATCCAAACTCCATCATCATCTTCATTAAAAGCCTACATACCCCTGAAGGTGGTTTCTTACTCTTTAAAAAGCTGAGACATTTTTCAGTGAGTGAGCATTCTGAAAATCTCTTACATATCAAAACAACGCTTCCAACTTAATAGCCATTTTGCAGGTTGTTGGTTTTGTTTTGTTTTTCCTTCATGTGGATTATCTCTGGCAACTATTTTAATGACTATTAGTGATCCATTTTAATTTATCCTGATAGAAAACATAAGTTAAATACATTTTTTAAAACCTCATCCTTTACAAAAATCAGTTTATAAATTTGCATCATATAAATTAGTGTCAAGACCATCAAGATGGTCTTCGTTTGTATGGTTGTATGTGTATCAGTTGGTTTTCCCACAGGTGGGGTGGCAGATGTCCCACTTTTCTATGTAGTGTAATCAGGATATAAACCCAAGTACTTGGAATCCCAAGATAGTTCAGTTAATAAGACTGTGTGACAGGTTTTAGTGCGATCAACCCCGGACCTATATAGCAATATTGGTGTTAAAATACTGACGGCAAACCTTGGTGGGAATTTAATTCGCCTCAGACAATAAACATCAGGAGATGCAAAAGGAAAAATGTTCACACACACATTACTAATGGGGTTGTAGATATAGAAAAGGGAAAAACTCCTCATTCATTAGAACAAGGATTTACCACATTGATAACACGTTTAAAAAACTACAGGTCTTTTCTTATTAAAGCATGTTGACTCAATCGCAAGTGTTTTCAAGTTGATGCCTTTATGGCCTAGGAAGTTATCTTTTTGGAACTTATGGCCTGCATAAGCAAAATCAAATATGCCATCACACCTTTGTGTCAAGAATTATTAAAATAGTGGTCATACAATCACAAGTTTGTTGTAGATAGAATTATCAAAACCCCAGATGATTATATAAAAAGTTTGCATTATTTAGAATCTCTTCCTTAGGAATCAAAGCAGTCGCTGGGTGGAACTGCATTTTTCAGAACTGCTCAAAGCACCTCATCTAGATGAGTGTTTTTAAAAATATATATATATAAAGTCCACAACAAGACTTCAAACATCACATATCTCACCTTTTATGTGCTTTTTATCATGAATCCCTTCCTTAAAGTCCTTCAGAAGAAAATAAAAATACATCTCACATTCCATTAGAAAAAAAATGGAAACATTCACGGTCTCAAAATTTTCTAGATTCCCCCAATCTCGGTGCTATGTACGGCTTCCTCACGTACAGGTTTTGAGGGAACCCCTGCTCATCTATCATGGAATAATCAGCTAATGGACATGCCATAGAAAATTTACATAGTAGCAGTAAATAGATGAAAATCTGTTCCATAAAATAAAAATGTTCTATGACTTCAATTTAAATACATATCTGAAAAACTAAAAGGAGGTTTTCTTGTTTTTCAAAAGTGCTAATTATTATATTTACAAGTCTCTTCAACAAGATTATGTCCAATTCTTTAAAAACAAAAACAAACTAAACCACCTTGCTTTAGGCACACTGCTGATGAGTTTCTAAGAAGCAGAGGGAAAAGATATTACTTGTCAATTAATCCAGCTTCCTTAATTTTGCTGAAGAAGAATTTCTCCAGAATATTGGCACATTTGTAGTATTCACTCTCAGGGGCGTTGTACTCTTTGCAATTGGTAAAGACTCGCTGTAAATCTGCCATAAATAATTTCTTAGACACGTAGTACCTATTCTTGAGGCGTTCACTCATGGTTTTCAGATCTGCACAGGAAAAAAAAAATACTAGTAATCTTTGACTCTTCTTAAGTACTAGGTGACAAAAGTAAGACTAGTAAAGAAATCTATGTTGTTGGTTTGATTACATTATTATCCCAGTCTTTAAGAGAAATTCTCATGATCAAGTAAAACAGTTCTTAAATCTTACTTCATTCTTTTGAGAGGTTTTTTTTTTTTCTTTTTTAAACATAAAACCACAGCAATTTTAACATTAAAGGGACCATTATTGGTCATCTGGCCCAATCCCCTATTAAGCACATGGAAGCTAAGTAGATTAGCAATGGCTAAGTATACTAAACAGACTATTGTTAGCTATTCATTCAGAATTATACAGAAGAGGCTCTATCTTCATGGAATAGAGCAGGTGGAACATTTGTATTGAGTCATTTAATTTTAATTTCAATTAAAGCAATCAGACTGAGTTTGTTTCCCTAAATTCGCAATTGTTTCTGGAATTATCTATAGAATAAAGTAGAGAAAATGATCATAAATATACCAGTGACTTGCACATAACATAGTAAAAATGAATTTTGTTTCATGCTCCATTAATAAGATTAAAATGACCAACTTTACTTAAGAATATTTTTCTAAAGTAAATAAGCTCTGTGAGACTTGTAAAAAAACATTTTCCAATATAGCTACTTGCTTTATATTGTATTCCACAAGTGAAACTTCTAAGAATACAATGGAGTTTCTTCAATCCCCACTCTGAAGACCAATTTAAAGAAATCCATGCAGACTAGATGTGAACATTTGGGAGCCTGTTTATCTTAAAGTCTGGTTCAATTATTGAAAATTATAATTGTAGGGCTAGCAAAGTGACTCAAGTGGTAGAGCACCTGCCTAGCCCTGAATTCAAACCCCAGTACCACCAAAAAAAAAAAAAAATTATAGAAACTGCATGGAAAGAGTCAAAACTGCTAAAGAAATACTTCTGATTATCTATACCTCAAATTCCTAGTATATTATCAAATTTTCCAAGGGAAAGAAATTTACAACCAAATACACAGGCATTCTCACTTAACAAACTTAGTAATCTATGTACAACATCCCTAAGTGGGAAAAAATTCATTTGCATCATAATCTTAAATCCACCACAAAACACCAAAGAAGAAAGCAGAAAATATGTTTCTGCTTATCTCTTATTAAAATCTCTATCTCTGTGACAGTGTTATATCTGGGAGTTCAACTTTCAGTTTTTCATTCTTCTCTAACTGAAAAATTTTATTGAGGGAAAAATCTAAAAGTCTGAAGATAAACAAAGATTCAGCAAATCCTCCACTAAATATCTCAACCAAGTGTAACTACGCATATTAACATGTTCTCTTGCTTAAGGAAGAAAGAACTAAAACTGTGCCTCCTTAAATAAAATCAGTTGGTTACATCCCTTCTACCTCAATACCTAATACTTAGGATATACTGTCCACTATATTTATAATGTTTAGAAGGAAGAAACATGGAGTGGAAAATATCCACAACCAAAGTCATGAGAAAAAAAGGGCAAAAAAAGAATAAAATATAACATAGAAAAGCTGATGCAAAAGCTTTTCAAATTTTTTTGGGGGGGATGAGGAGTTGGTAAGAAGAGACAGGGAAAGCGCAAAAGGCAGCAGACACAAGGCTAGAATTACAGAAGTAATTAGAACTTCCTGACCATATGAGGGGCAGGACTATCGTTTTGCTCAGCATATATAAGGATCTCAAGGAAAAAATATGATTCCTGCACTAAAAAGCATCATTTTCAATTTTGATTTTGTCTGGCACACATCTCAGCCATCACTGGCCTTGTCCTATGGGGTCAATTTTCTCTTCATAATCAGCAACTGGAGAAACTCAAACCCTTCTCAGACTACAGCAAGAAACTTTCCTGAAGCAGAATGAGCTCAAGTGGTAGAACACCTGCCTAGCAAGTACAAGACCCCAAGTTCAAACTCCAGTACCTCCAAAAATGAAAAACTTAGTATTATCAGTATTTGCTGAAAATATGATAATACCAAAATAAATAAATTCTTTAAAAAAAAAATGAGGCCAAGAGTAGGTTATGAAAGACAGGATCCCCTATACATACTACTGCAGGTTTTTATAGAGTACATGTTGACAGGGGCTGAAAGGAAATTACTCTCCCCAAACTCGCACAACTTCCTATGAGAACATCCCAAAAGAAGCTGAGATAGGGCTGGAAGGATAGCTCAGTGGTAACAAACACGTAGTTGATATGGTCCAGAGAATGAGGATGAAAAACCAGTTAACTTAAGGTTGGAAATGAACACAAAGTGTTTTTAATGTATTTTTCATATAGTGGGAAAAACTGATTGCTAAATCACCCTTCCATTCAGAATTCTAGACTGAGTCAAACCTTCCTTTGGTTTTCTTGCACAAAAAAATATAGTAGCAAGACAAAGAGAAGAGGGAAAGAAAAGCATATAGAGGTATAAGAAGTACTGGCCACCGAAATCATACAACAATACATGACACTGGTGTGGAAATGGATGCCACAGGAAATATATGTAAGTAACCAAGTCACCAAGGAACTGATGGATCTCCTTCATTCTTGCTTTCACATCTTAACTTGTGACAACGTAGAAAAGCAACAGAAGACTCTAGCTCTTGTTTCAGCTAGTTGTCATCTCTGCACATTGCCCAACTGGTTTAATTTGGGGCATTCTCAACTGATTCAATTAATCATTTTAGCAGAGCACAGGCACAGCATCAAAGTCTTCAGTTCTGCATTTCTGAAGGCACCTTTTTTGGTTTTTGGATGAGGTCAGTGGTAACATTTAACAATATCCGTCAAAAGCTTTGGAAAAACCAAGAACTTACATTAACTGCAGTTTTCCCCTCTGAAAGTACAGCGGTAAAGCAGTTTAATCTACCTTCTTTCACATTACCTTTAAAATTCTTAAAAGGAATAGCTATTCATTTAAGATAAACAGATACATCAAAATGACAGCACTGGTATCTTTCTATTTGTAACCAAGCAGGAAAATATAAGCAAGGTTATATCCTTGCCAGTTTCTATCCATACCTAGAGCTGTCTGAAGTTCACCTGGAATCTGTGTCTCGTGTGTTGAGTATGCAAGAGCCCTAAAAGACAGCTGTGGAATGCCTCTAATGAGAAGTGCCACCCACCTCCCCTTTGTCATTCTACTCTGGCATCACAGCCTATCTACAGGTTCAGGGACCCCACCACCTGCCACATATTTCCTATCCTACCACAGAGCCGACCAAATCAACCTAAGTACCCGTTTATCTCCACATCACCATCCAGAGAGTTTTTTTAATCTATACTTAAGAAAGTTTAATGGCATTACCCATGGGGAACCTTATAACTTCATAATATCCGGGAGCTTCTGTTCTCTTCACAGGTTCCATGAAGGGCCAAGCACTTTGATGGCTCTTGGGTAGAGAAAAAAGTGTAAGGTATCTAATATGGAAATTCCATGTGGGAAACCATTTCAAAATATTTGCATGAAGTAAACAAACAAACAAAAAACACCCACTTTCACTTGCTGAAGGATGCTCTTGAGTGTGCTGTAAAGCTGGTCAGGGTCTTTGGGTTCTTTACTTGAAAAGAGCGAACAACAAGGAGCAAAGATTAGTTTTTACCCTCTTGCCAGCTGATTCCTATTCAGTTCATTCTTACAAAAACCTAAAATTGGAACCATTCCAGAACTTATAAAAATTGAAACCCACCAACTGTGTGTATCGTCAGTTACAGTCAGTTTGCCCTTTTTTCCTCTAAGTGGCTGGCAGGGGAGAAATCACTTCCATTAGCATTCTCTGGCCCATCCTACTTACCTTTTCTCTTTTCCACTCGGTTTCCAGCCTGTCTCTCCTATATGTCAACAAAATTAAACACTAAATGAGAACTGCTTTTGGTCAAGAGAGTAACATACTTAATAGTTATGAAGAGCATAATAAATTAAAGCCATGCCTCAATAAAAGTCTATTTGGGGAACACGCTGAAATTAATACTATTTATTTACTTTCTTACACAGCTCACAATACAAAACATTTCCCAGACTGACTACTATAGAGTAGTGTTTTAAAAGCCAGAACTCCATCTTTTCAGAGGAAAACATCCAGTACCATACTTTTTAAAGTGAAGTTGTTGTAATTACCATGTGAAAGAATGAAGCTATCATTTTAAGTGAGAACAAACTGTTCTGGTCTCTACTTTATTTGCTTATACTGGGAGATGGTTCAATGTAGAAAAGCTGTAGTGTGAGAAATCTACACTTGATTTCCTGCTCACTCTTTGCAAGCTAATTTACCCTAAGTAAATCACTTAACCTCTTACCTCTCAGCTTATCAATCATAATACAGAAACCCAAAACATAGGTGATATTATCCCTTTAAGATTAGTTGATGTATGCTTTATTTTTAAAAAAAATAGAATACCTAGCATAAGAAAGCATTCGATGATATGCTAGCTACTGTGCTGTTAACAGGAATAATACAAGAAAGTAGGTTGAGCAGTAGAAGTGAAACCTGTTGTAGAGAAGATGCAATGAGGTACTTATCTTGCCCAAATAACATCTTGGTTTTTCTGGAGAATTTTGTTTTATTTTCTTTAGTTATAATCCTCAATATACTTATGAGAAGCTGGATTTGGACCACATAAAATGGATAAATAATATTTAATAACTTTTGATCTACAAAAACAGCTATTTTGGATAGTTTAACCCACTATGACTCATTTCTAGCATACAGACAAGAACTCTTAGGAAAACTACTGTAAAATAAGGAACTTGAAGAAAATTATAGGGTTTCCATCACATATGGCAAATAATCTTAATTGAAATTTTAGGAAACTAATTATTCAAGCATAGATCTATGCGGGTTGCAAGCATGACAACAGTAAGACTTGGTCCAAACAGGGAGCTGTATGAGGAAAGCAAAACTGGACTGGTTCTCATTCTGACCCACTATGTGCTATGTGCCATTTAATGCTGAATGACATAATCATTCTGAGATCCATTTCCCCATTTCGAATATAAAGTTCTACCATTTTCCATGTTACATATGGTAGTGCCTATACTGTGCCACAAATGGTGGGTATAATAACAATAACAAGAAGGCATTCTCTTTGATGTGTCTGAATTGGGAGGAAGAAGAAAAGACTTTGAAAAGACAGTATTTGTGACTTTGATTTTTGTTTTTTAGATAGGGTCTGACTGTATAGTCCAGACTGGCCATAAATTCACAGTCCTCCTGCCTCAGTCTCCCAAGTGCTAGAATTACAGATGTGCACCACCATGCCCAGCTTACTGCCTTCTTAAAAGATCATGCAAATGGAGATAGGAAGGACAATAAATAATAAACCTTTTCAAATTACTTCAAACACATCTCATGGCATTACCGAAAGGTTTTGCTTTTTAAAAAAGGTCTATACATACTAATTCCAGGAATGCTTTCTATAGGAATCTGTCGAACTCCGTCTTTAAAGCATGAAAGTCCAGGGTACACTTTTCGAATCTGGGCCTGTTTTCGTTCTATCAGCTTTTTAATTATCTGTAAAGCACAAGAGGAAAATGCACTTGATGAAAGAAGTCTGTGCAGCAACACAGTTCAAGTCAGCCAACCCAAGGGAACGTTTTCCCAGCAGCAAGTCTTCTTTTAAAGAAACAAAATGGGAGGAAAAGATGAATGCTATTTAGCAGCTGAGAAATGAAAACATTCTTTTATACTACACCCATTTAGTGATGTGAAACGACATGTCCTTCATCTAGAAAAGGAGTGTTAGGGAAGGAGACTGGGATGAAGCGGGGGGGGGGGGGAGGAAGGAAAAGAGGATAGAAGGGAGAATGGGCATGATCCAACCATGATAAATGCATGTGTGGAAGTGTCACAGCGACACCCACTGATCTGGACTTTCAATATGTGTCAATTATAATCTGAAACATTTAAAAACCCAGTAAAGCCAATGCTAAGAGAACCCATTGCCCCTGAGGCCCACTTGTCATTACTGGCTTAAGAGCCAATTACTTTGCCCTTATTTCTGAGGAGCCTCTGCCAGGTGACAGGAGAGCGGCCCTGAGCCCAGTCAGAGTACAGAACTTCTTCACATCCCAGACTGGAGGGACAGATGAAAAGGCCTCAAAAAGTCCCAAAGTCCTGGAACATTTACAGCCTTCCTATTTATTTAAAATTCTCAAGGTGGAGCTCAGTCTATGCTGCCTGCACCAAAGTGCTATGCATGAAGTACACACTATGACCAACACAGCCAGGGCTGATTCAGGAATTGTGAGGTATTTTCTTTATTTTATAAAATAATTCTGCTTTACTTTTTTTTTTTTTAATCTGGGGGGAATTTTTTTGGTGGTTCCGGGTATTTTATAAAATCATCCTAATGCAACTAAGGTAACTAATTCCAAGGCACTGAAGCTTTCCTTTGAAACCAAAACACCAACACTCGGCAGGATAGGGCAGGAGGATGGTAAGATCAAGGCCACCCTATCCCAAATAAATTAACTAGTTAAATCAAAACAAAAACAAAACCCCTCAAAAGATACCGTCCTCTGCTTTGTGAGCACCTGCTTTGCAAGTGCAAAGTACTGAGTTCAAACCCTAGTCCCACCAAAAAAATTACCTTCCTGAAATGGACATCACAACTGAATTTTGAAAAAGAAAAACAGTAGAAGTCACTGAGTTCACAACAGAAAACAAGAAAATTCTAGTTCTTAACTGCTTTATTCCACACATATGGCTGGTAATTACTGTAGCATGAATATGCAATCCTAACAATTAAACAGAGAACTTCATAAAATGAATGGGACTAGTAGAAGTATATTCCTGGTATAACTTGGCCAATACTGTCCAATAAGAAATATATATAATGTAAGCCAACTATGTTAACTTAAATTTCTCTAGTAAACCAAATTTTTAAAGGTTAAAAAGCGAGCAGCTGAAATTTATTTTAATAAAACATCTCACTTAACTCACTCTACTGTATGCAAAATATTATTGCAATATAGTCAATAGGGAATAATGAATAGACATTGTACATTCCTTTACTCATAATGAGTCTACAGAAATTGGTGTGTTTTATGCTGACAGTACTAGTCACACAGCAAATTCTCACTAGCCACATGTGGCTAGTGGCTACCACTTTGAGCAGGGCTGACCTAGGTGCCCTTATTTACAAT